GCTTCTGGATTTCAACAGCTGCAGTCTAGTGAACATAGACTTCTAAATTTGACCTTTTTTCTTCCAACTTCAGTTCTTCTAGGTCTTGAATTCCCAGTGAAGGTATGTCAATAAGCAAACTGTAGGTAGTAATTCCTTTACATGAGCAATTCATATTCCATTATGTCCTTATATCAAGATTGGCTTGGCTTTCCAATCTATCACGTCCATAACTTGACAGAAAGTGAATTTTCTGTCCTGTTAATACCTTTGAGGTATTAGAATGGTCCCAGGGTCTTAATCAGTACAAAGAAAGTAAAAAGCTTCAAACCTGTTGAAAAAGGAAATCTGTATTTTGATGTTTTTCCAGATTCTTAACACTTTCTTCTATATTTATCAGAATTTCAAAACTAATCTATTTTTTGAAGTTTAAAAACACAAATTTTGTTTGAAAACATAGAATCAGATTTTTAAAAATCTCTTTTTTTTTTTTCCAGGAGGGTCACCAAGACTGACCACCTTTCCAAACAGTGCTGGTTTTCGTTTCCTCATCAAGAAATTCCAGATCAGTTCTAGTTACTTTGATTTCCCAGACTGGACTCCATAATGACGCATCCCCCGGCCCCAATTTTTTGAGTTTTCTGATGACTTTTACATTCAAGTTCTCCTTTTCAAAGTTTCTACATTTGTCTGCATCAGAAATTTTTCTGCATGAAATAGAAAAGAGCATCAGGTTTTTTATCTTCCTCACTTGCTAGCAGTAGTTTCTGTATTGGATATTAAGCTAACGTTAAGAAAATGAGTATTTCAAACCAATGGGCCTGTATGTGATTACTTATTTCTGGATCCCAGGAAGGAATCACAGAAAGGGAGCGCAGCGATATTATTTGGGAAATTGTTTGTCATCAGGGGTCTGCTCCGAGGGGTCTGTTCTTACTCCTGGGTCAGCACTCTGGCGTCAGAGACCACACAAGGAAATTTATAGATCATGTGCAACGAATTCCTGGAACCTATTGCCAAAAAGAAATTAACAGAAACAAAAACATAGGACAGTGAGTAACCAGACCCTTTAAGCTGATCAAAGAGAAAGCCAACCACTACCTATCTGGAGTTAGAAATATTTCTCAGAGACTTCTATTCCCTTTGTACTCTGACTTTGCAAGAAAACTACCCCTGAATACTGTGAAGACGGCAATGTTGTCAGGAACAATATACCTTCTGTAAAGCTTTTTTAGAGTTTCCTGTGAATTGTGGTCCTTATATGCAGAAATATACATTTTCTGCATTGCAGTAAGCCAGCTTTCTCTCCACAATTACATCCTTTTCACTGCCAAGGAGAAAGTTAAGCTGCTAACAGTCTGACTGGGGAGACCACAGAGCTATTTGACTCTCATCTTCCTATTTCCTCTGATCAGTTTTGGCAGCTGGGGGTGAATTGCATTAAACTGCCTGTATCTGCTGACCCAGACGGTTTATTAAGAGAGAATAACTTCATCAGGGTGGACAAAGAGTGACTGACAAAGGAGGAAACACTCCCAAGTTTAACCAAAGGTTCTGTCAGTGATATTTGTGAGATCCCTGACTACAAGGGGAGCGACCAACTGCACGTTTCATTGAGCATTCAGAACCTCCAACATAATCCTACTCTAATTTCTGCTTGCTTAGGGGAGATACACATTTGCAAAATCCTCCCAGCTGATGACTGAAATACTTCTTACCAAGGTCTTGTGCAACATAAAGCACAGTGCAGCCATCTCCACAATATTCAACCCCCCTTGAGATGAGAGGGCTCTCTGCGCTTTCTTGCTGGGGTTAAAAGACTCTTTGGCATCTTGTCTGCAGCCTCCAATTTGTTCTGGTCCTTGCCCTCATCAATTCAAGTACCACTGCATCAATTTTTTTAGCTATCCTAAGGGTACAGAATGTTACTTGAAGGAGCCCTAAGGCTACTTAATGTGAGGAAAAGGGAAGAGAGTCCTTTACCAAGGAGAATTGCTGGCCACTTCTGTGCCCGCTGCTGCTTTAATATAGATGTTGAAAACAGGAGAGTCCCAGGTCACAAAACTGATGATGCTCACCCCAGCAACAGTCCTGTACGCTGATCCCGGAGGCTGAGGAATCCAGGCTCCTTCTGCTAAAGACAGAAGTGCAACACCAGCTGAACCACAGCTTACCCCGTGTACCCCAGTCAGCATTTTACTATAGCCGAACAAGAGGTGATGCCCTCGCTGCCACACACTGTAGTAATCTGTGATTGTCTGAAGGCCGCGAGGCCCAGAATGGCTCCTTTCTGTGACCCTTGCCTCATTTATGTTGCATTTATATTTTTGGTACTCACTGCAAAAAAGAAATCTGGGAAATTATCAAACTTTTAAAAACAGATTTTAGATAGCCTGCTTAAGGCAAATCCACTTAACACTCAGGCAATGTATGATGTCCCCTTTCTTATCCTCTCTCTTTGTACACACTGCCCTTCTCTCCTTATAGTCACACAGGTCATAATGCATCCCCTTCTTGTTTTCATATGGTTTAATTAATACACAACTTCTCTAAAAGTCAGTCTTTCTACCTTGCACATTCAGCTAAACGTCCCCTTCCCAGCCTTCAAACTTACTACTGCACCTGGGCTTCACTTAGTCCAATACTTGAAGTGTTGCTGCTAAAATGATCTTTTCCGTTTTCTTCGCTGGCTTCACCTGTATATCAAAATAAGAATATCTTGTCTTTGCATTAAAAAAAAAAAACACCTGCTTATTCTTTCCCTGTACTGCTGATTGGGATGTTGATGTTGCTTTCCTTTTTGTTACCCAAACTAGTTCATTCCTTCTCCCTCAGCGTCCTTTCTGCAGGGAGGAGCCCTCTTTGACGGAGTCTGAGTTTTCACATGTGCCTCGGTATTACCCTTTACTGGGACCTTGTGAGCTTACGATGTCTAAACACGTAAGAAGTTGTGACTGTAGAAGTGAACACTAAGAATGTGTAAGAAACAGGTAACAGACTGCTGATCATTCTTCAGGGGATCCGCATCCCAGTGTACTAGGTCTTCTGCCTCATCGTTGGTTGGAGAGCTCACGCTCTGAAAGATACAAAGAACAATAAGCCTTGCTACTTTCTGACACTGTCAGTCTCATTTACCAATAAATACTTTGCACAAGTTAAACCACTCATATAACCACCTCATTGCCTTTCCGCCTTGCAAAAATATGCTCAGAAGTCAAAATAACAAGTGACCAGATTACAAAATCCACTTGCATATTCAAAAATCCACTTGTGCTGTGAGCACAAATATGCGCACAGATACACTTCCCACAGACAATTTATACATGTTGCTGAGAGGTATTTGAAAATATGAATATTTAGCTTTTACATACCTTAATGTAAAGCCCACCCTCAGATTAACTAATATCAAGTAATCACAACTTTATGAATGCCCTGATTGCCTTTAGAAAGATTTATAGCATATTATCGAAGAATAAACAATTAACACATCATTCTATATGCCAACCAACTCATTCCCACCATAGGAAAGAAAAAAACCTAAAGATGGTGTAAGTTAACATTGCATGGGGGGTGCAGGTTTGGAGAAGGAGCAAAATTGCACGGCAAGAAACTTCTTATACCAGTAGTTTTTAACACCAGCCTTAAACTTACTGGTTTCTAGTAGTCCATCTACCACTGTTTGTCTGTAAAGACATGGTAAAGAATTTTGTCACAATGATGGAGTTTCTACTAAAATTTTATTCTCCTATGAGGAAATTTAATGGTTTTCATGTTCCATAGTAAAAAAAAAAGTAAAAATATTGCAATTGACTGCTTCAAGTTGCTTTGTTTTCAGGCTGTGCAGTGTTTTGGCTTCTAAAAAGATGTAGAATTTCCAAGCTATATAATTTTGGATGCTAGCTGTGTTTTGTCCCACATGCTTGTAATCTGAACACATTTGAGATAATTTCTCTGGAAACAAGGATTCACTCTTGGTTTTCAAGCTATAGTGTGCTATCCGTTCTTGAAAGAGAATTCCCCAGTGAAACTGGTGAGGTTAAAATGATTTAGGGCCTTTTTGTCAGAGAAACAATTCCCTTTTCCATCAAGTTTAACATTCTAATAGTTATCTTTGGGGGCTTGATTTAACATCACTGAAGTCCATCAGGCTCTTTCCACTGCTCACAGAGCCAATAGCATCAAATTTTCATTTGGCTTTGGTCACTATTGCCTGATATTCAATATACTTTCTTTATCATTATGCTCGCAGCTAGCTTTATAGAGATCATCACTGTTGACACTTTGATCATTTACATTTTTATTTATTAACCTGCACAGCTATTTTTCCCTATAATTAATGCAGCATACTTGTGAGGTGTTCCAGACAAACCTATGTGAAGGCAGGCTACTTTGCGTTCAAATAGGTGTCTTGGCATCTTGCAAGAAAAGGTTTCTTTCTTTCTTGACTTTGCTATGAGGTCAATAATTTTCCGTAAGTTTATGTGGGGAAAAAGTTTGTTGAAACGATATCCAGGGCCTCTTTTTAACAATAATTTTCCTTTGCTGTAACTTGCCAAGATTATTTAAGCCTCCCAGTGCATATTTATAGGAAGTTTGGACAAGGATGGAAGGAGGATTCATTTTTTTGAGCTCTCGTTCGAGAGTCTGAATATTTCATTGCTTTATTAAAAAGAAGAATTTTCACCCTGCTGTAGATTTTGGATACCTGCACGAAATCTGTTTTCACAGGTTACTCCAAGCTTTTTAGTACAAACATTTATATCCAAATGCAGTCACAGCACATGCCAAACACATTCCCGCTCCTTTGCGGTGATGGATACACTCCAGAGCCTTTGCCACCTGTCGGCCCCTCACCTGAGCCCTGCCCGGCTCCGGAAGGGCTTTGTGCTCCCTGCACCAGGCTGTGGTTTCAAACCCCTGCTCTTAGGCAAACACGGGGCTCTTCCAAGACAGGCTAATGTTGCCTTGAGACAGAGCCAGTACACTCTTTACTGGAGGCTATGACATGGTTTTGACCTCACCTTTGCCTTCAAGTTTGTCCAGTTTCAAGTGCCGTTGGATTTCACTGATATTTTCTTTTTCTTTGTTGCTTGTCAACTGCTGGTCTTCTTGTATTACCTGAAGTATGGATCAAACAAAGGAAAATACATATAAAAGTTAAGACTAGTCATTTTGTCTGTTGTCAAACAGACAACCGCAGAGAGACCTGAACACTCACCAAGAGAGGGCGATAAACTTATTTGTAAGGTTTTAACATACGGTTAAAGCATTTCTGGTCATCATTACAGAAATAATGGCGCAGGATGTGCCCGGTGATCCTGGGAGTCCCATTTGGGACACTGAAAGGGTCTCACTCTCCTCAGTGCTGGTACACATCTTCTGTACATTGACATGCTCCATGGTGTTTTCCAGATAGATCCAGATAAATAATAAATGAAAGGCTCTTGACTTGGCTCAAGCAAGAGAGCAAGCTTGGTGGAGCGGTGGGAGAGGGGTGGGTGCTGGGGAGGAGAACAGCCCCCTCTGACTCCCAGGAAACAAAAAGCAGTATTATTCAGCAGAGTACCTCCGCAGACGGATGAGCCCTGCTCAGAAATAATTCAGGAAAAGCTGGGAAGAGAGGCCCTCATTGGCATGACACCTCACAAAGACTGTGTTCCTTTCAGGATTTCCCAGCAGAGGTCCGTCTCATCAGATAGTTAACTAACGGAGTACAGCCGTCATTCTTCATTTCCTGCAAAGAAACTCGCAAGAGGTAAAGCTTAAAGAACAGTCCTCTCCCTTTTCCAAACTGCATTCCCATCAGAAAACTTGGAGAAGTTATAATAGGAAAAAAATGTATCTTTTTCTTTAGTTGTGTGTTCTCAAACTGTTCTGAAGGGTCTATAAACCAGGGCATGCAGCTGTGCAATGGATAATCTGCATACTTACTTGTTCCCTGACTACAGGCCAGAGGCTTCTCCGTGACAACATATGAGTTCTGACTGGGCACCAGGTCTGAAAAATATACGTACGCATTGTCATTGCACATCTGGAATTTAGAATTGCTAATGGATATGCTGTGATAGAAAAGAAAAGTGTCTGGCCAATAAACTTGGTTTATATATTTATTTTAAAAAGCATTACCACATTTCTGGCTAGTAGCCTTTCATCCTCTAGACTTTACACCAGTGCATCTGGAATGCTAAGCAGCTCTTTCAGGGATGCAGCCATATCCCAAAAGGCACCTTTTTTATTTGAAATAACTTTAAAAACTAATTAAAAAGGAGAAAGGTGGTGCTTTTCCCTATGGAGCCTTAACATACCTAGCATTTTATATCAGCTCCTACAGTCTCAGAAACCATAGGTGAAAATTCTCTCCCAGACTCTCAGTTAACCTACTTTATCTTCCAGGATGCCGCTACAAACATGCGTGGCTGTCTTTGAATAATGTCTTTTGGCCTTATTACATGTGCAACTCTTCAGAGTAATTACTTGCGAGCAGCTTGTTGCAGGACTAGCAGTGGAAATGTGAGCACTTTGAGTTTCTACGTGTCACTTTGACCCCCTTCCTCATCGTAGTCACCAAACCTGCAGTCAGAGCAGATGCAAGAGTCCCTGTGCTACAGCTCACCCTCCGTAGGGCCGGGATGTCCCGTTTGTCAACTCGGTCTCTCTCAAGTGCTGGGAAATTGCAAGAAAAGAATCAGACACCAGCAAATAGAGAAAACTGCAAGACCACTGCCTGTCCAGGCGCACCTATAGGTGGCCACCAGAAAACTGCATACCACGGGGATGCATGAAATGTATTTCAGCCAAGTTAAGGGCATGCCTCGTTTACTGGCCACCTTTACAGTTATGAAGCCCTGGCAGACACGGCGAGTGTTTCACATCTTGATGCAGAGGCAATCGGAAATGCTCCCCTGCATGCAAGTAGTCTTTAATTTTATTTATATTTGCTTCTATAAATCTCATACCTTTATGCCATGTGCTCTGTGCACAGAGTATTTTTAAGACGGGAACCGACTCCGAGCCAATGGCAGCCAGCAGTAACCCTGTATGTTTAGTGAGGATTTGTAGGGCTGGATTACTGAAATCCTCGAGAACCGGAGACGCATTTTCATTTTCTACGCTCGAGATTAGGAATTAGGCTCAAACTGTGAAACAAGGGGTAAAAAGATCAGCTTTTTATGATCAGGCCACCCAGACGGTTTAATGGCAGCCGTTTTGTTGTCCACATGGTGGCTTTGCAGGTACGTAGAGGATATGGGAAAACCAACCCATGACCCCCCTTCCCACCCATTTCCCACCAAAGCTCCCGTGATTGGCTTCACCAACAAAACCAGAACCAGCCCAGTCAGTGCTTTATAAAGCTTTATTGCAAGATGTGTTTACATAATGCTGTAGAGGTGAGCTTTTTAACTACTTATATCAAGAAATTTTGGACACAGGTCTGCGGTCGGTTTTCCATATTGACCCTGCATGGCACAGAAAAAAACAAAAGAGTGATTGCATCTTTCCATACAGTAAAGTGGGGAGAGTGGGGGAGAAGAGGCAGATGAGGGGCGTGTTAAAAAGAAAATCCCCCTGTTTTACACTAAATGTGACAAAGCTTCTGAAGGATCAATACAAACGGTAGGTGAGCTTCGTGTGTAATAAAATCTTAAAGAGTAATTCAAGTTCTTTATGAAATAAAACTGAGAAACAAAAATGCAGTTTCACGGACAATTAAATTTAACATAAAACAAATTCACCTAAAATGAGAAAACAATAAACAAAACCAAAAACTCAACCAAAAGGACCTGTAGATAATATCTCTGACCATGCACGGCTTGTTTTTTAAATTACAATTCACAGAATAACACTGCTGGAAAGCCTATTTTACACTATGCTACACAGAAGACGAAAAAAACATGAGTAGTAACATTTACACAATTTTACAGTATTTCTCCTTCGTCTAAGAAACACGTCCTTTTCTACTTTACATTTTTTTTACAATTCCCAGCTCACAAAAAAAGGACACTATACGCGCAAAGACAGTCTTTAAAAAGGAGAAATGCACCCAATGCTACAAATAAACCTTTTCTTTCACAGAAGCCTCTGTATTAGATAGTGATTAAACAAAATATCTCCCTATCTGCCACTCAATGTGAAATGGACTAATTAGAAATAATTTTAATTTTTTTTTTTGAGTAAACATAAAACTATACAACATCTCTGAAACTCCTTGAATTACTTGCTATGTAACTATTAAACTGCTTGCCAAAAACCTCTTGGGATTGCATCTGAAATGCCAATTGAGCCAGTTGCTGCCCCAGTCGAAAAAAAGGAAGGTAGGCCTTACGTGTTATTCAAGTGTTTGCAAATAATTTTCAACAGTTACCCATAACCAAACATTTTCTCTTTCAAAAATGCTTCAGTTTATTTTCTTTCGGAGCCTGTAAGTACCTGGCAGTTTTCCCTGCGGAGAAACATCAACACTTGTAGTCCTTACAGCTCAGGCAAGTGTTTCTTGCATCCCGATGCTGGAAACGCAGAGCCATCATCCGAACACGGCGCGGGGTCAGGCTCTCTGCCTACGCACGCAAGCACAACCCGGCTCGAAGATAACGAGGGGAGCGGTACCCGTGTAGTGAGCGTACAGGAGTGAAAAAGGGAGAGGAATAGGCTCGTGCTTCTGTCTGGCACCGCGTCCCTGCACGTCCTTTAGATACCGGCAGGTAGCCTGTACGCCTGCCTACGAGTTGCAGTGGGAGGATAAAGGATGTGGAACCGGTAGGCTGCCACCGCGTCCCCATTTCATCTCGGTGAAACCAAAGCATTGTAAAACCAATAACCACACAGCATACACGCACCTGAGTCCAGACTACTACCATCGGTCAAACGGTTTCTAAAGCATTTTGGATAGACACTTGCTGTTGTTACGCTACTGGGGACACCGGTGTAGAGCGGATGCCTGCAAAAGGAACCACTTACTGCACCTAGAGTGGCATCGTGCCCCTTCGGTTTGCAGTAGATGTTGCAGTCCTCACTTGTGACTTTTCAATGGCTTTTAGCATTCACCAGGGTACGTTCAGGGCATAGCACACCGGGGATTTAAGGTGCTGTCCTGCCATGTTATCCAGTACCTTGAGGGGGAATGGAGCACCTTGCAGGAGGCCCTTGCTGTTCAGTCACATCAAGACTCTGACTCCAAATTTCTGTTAAATCGGGACATGAACTCTTATCTAGATATTCACACGTGACTTTCTATTAAGCTAAAGCCAAAGTCTCGTCTACCTATAAATCTGATGCCTTATTTTGCTGACAGAGTCAATCGGTACAGAGATTTAAAATAAAAGGGGGTCAAAAAAGAAAAAGAAATGTATTTTGAAAACAGCTTTTGACGCTGTTTCCAGTATTTATCGGAGCAAGAAAGACCCTCATTAAAACACCATTTTTTTTTGTTGATTTTGGATTATGGACAGGGATCTATCAAACAGAAGGGTCAGACGTAGCAGCCAAGGGGCTATAAAACATCTGGAATCCACGAGCCTGATGCCTGGCCTTACTGAAAGGTGAAGAGTGATGAATTTAATTTTTGTGAGGGATCTTTCACTCTTGATTGTGGCACACAGCATTCCCTGAGGGTGTTTCTTCACCACAGCCACATAACTGCTACTGAAAGTTATCCCTCAGTTGGGAGCGAGGGAATACAAAGTATTTGTATGCAGTCTGCTTTTAAACACCAAGGGAGATGAAAGGAAATTGGGCTAGCTTCCCTTTGGCGGCCATTTCATATGCTAAAGTTTACCTCAGCATCCAAATCAGGAAGGCATTATAGTGGTAGGCAGACAGACAAGTTATTGGCAGCAGATGGGTGCTGAAATGAACACCAGCAGTGACTCTGAGAGCTTGGTGGAGATACAAAACTCTGGGCACTACATTTGCAGCTGACTGGTACTACGAGAAAGAGAAGAGAGGTAGTTATTATGGCTGCAAGTGTTTAAAAACAGCCTTCACGGATCTCCGAGTGAGAAATGGGAACATGTGTTACTACACCGTGTTTCCGAGACCTTTATATTTGTCACAAAAACAATCCACATCTCACACACATTTTAAAACAACTGTTACATCCTTATGGTGGGGTCTCCCGATGATGGAGGGGCAGGCAGCAACTCAAAACCTGAAGGTTACAACCTGATTAGACAGACAGAGGCATGCAAATATAACAAATTCCTCCATTTCATCTGGAATCCACTAGGTAGATGAAGGGGAACAAATGTTATTCCCACAGCCAGGACATGCTAGCAGACTCCGGAGGAAATACTGCCACCTCACAGATTAGCACACTGGGCTGCTGGCCGTTTTTATCAGGAACTGAAATGGAAATCTTTTCTGTAGTTATTGCATTGTTACTCTGTTTGATGATCTTGTTGCAAGAAACTTTGAGGACAGTGGAATTAATCTGACTGTACACTACTGCATAAACAAGACCAAGTTATCCTTCAGAAAAATTGGTATCAGTTCTACAGAGAGCAGGAACAGAAAAACAGACGTAATGGAAAAACAGACTAGGAAGAATATGCTTCACTTGTAAGACACTTGCATCCAGAGAATCTGAAAGAAACCAGCTTTTTTTTCTGAACTTTTTCTAACCCCATTCCCCATATTTAATTTTCTCCTCGATAAGGAGCATATGAAGTTTTGCACAATTTTTGCACAATTTGTGGAAAATACATATGCCCAACCATTAGTAATTCATCAGCTATGTTATGTTTCAGACACAGATGCTGTACTGTGTCTAAATGAAACACAAATTTGTTTCCTGTTAGCAAGTGGTCACCAACAGCCACCTACTTAGCACATTCAGCGTATTTTAATTAAAATAGTTTTAAAAACTTGTTTGATTTTCTCTCTCCAATCAAATATAAGACATCTGTCAGCATAAATGCATTTTGTTGCATTTTTTCTTCTTTTATCACTTAGCAAGCATCACAGTTCAGCATAACCATTACATTCAGGGTGTCTTCCTCTTGTTTCAGACTTCAAAGACCTCCGCAAACCCCCATTACCTTCATTTCTTTGTTCTAAGCATCCTGAAGAGAGATTTAAAAAGTCCATAATGTGAGCAGCACATAAAGATCCACTTTAAAATCCAGATGCTTGTAGGTCTTGCTTATTTTACAGTGAAATTAATTACATGCCACTTCTTTCTGTTTCCTAACCAGCTTCCTCCTTCCCATAGCTTTCAAATACACAACACATTTTATTAATTACACAACTACTGCCTTCTGCCGACTTGTAAAATTGACTTTTTAACATGCTGAGGGGAAAACCACATCAAACTCGCTGCTGCCCTTAAGAACCTTTGCTCATTAGTGACTTTTTATCCCATGGACTTTGACACGTGAAGATCCAAGGCATCGGCAGATAAAGAATGAAATGTGACGATCAAGAGGGTGGACAGCATAGATAGGATGTTCAACTGCAGATCTCATTGCAGTGTTGGCAGCTACCTGGTTCTCTCATCACTTGGATGCTGTGCTCAATGCGATGTGATGGATGACCGAGGTTTCAAAGGTTTATTGTGCTTGGTTCAACTATCCTGAACAATCTTCAGCGATTGTCCTGTCCCTAATGAGAGCAGAGTAGAATAACTTGAAGTACTTGACCTAGCTTGGGTGCCAGAAGCAACATAGCTATGGCATTAGGAGCCCAGCATAGACTATTAATTAACCCTACTTTTCAAGTGTGTTTTGCAGCCAAAACCGAACCCTGTTACCATGACTAAACTGCTGCAGTTCCCCAGTTAACTAGCTTGAAGAAAGCCTCAGCTGTTATTGCTGTGCAGACACACCCTTAATCTTAGAGGCTAAGGCAAAGGAAAGAGATGATCTTGTGCATCCTTGAGGATCAATTGGCCATATACAGACTTTGGCTTAAAAAGTTCCCTTTTATGTTGCTGTTGTTTGCAGTTCTCTTCAAAATGCTTCAGCACTGGCTAGGGTGACTGTGTTCAATTCATCTTCACTGCTGTGTACGGCCTCCACTTAAAGGCAGAGGAGTTGACTAAAGGTTCTTCAAACACACATGCTGAGGGCAGTTATAAAAGTCAGTTATAAAACAGCGAGATAAGGGCAAACATATTGGAGTGTTCACTGTGGTACCCTCTCCACTTGCATCAAGGATAATCACAAAAAAAGAGTAAAGAACAGCAAAAACACAGCAGGCTTTTAGCAGGGCCATTTCATATTCAGATCCATTAATTTGAAATAAAATCACCACCACATTATCTTGCAGCAGAGAAAAGCAGCATGAAGGGCACAGGCAAGTGAACAAAACTTCTTGATCTTAGCATCTGAATGCATTTATCGAGTATGTAAAATTGTTGGCATAGATCTCTTTGAAACTGTACAAATGCACAGTACGGCCATAGCTCAACAAGAGGGAGGTGTTCTGTGTCCTCCCCTCTGTGTGCATGCTGCTATGTACAGTATGAGTGCGTATTAATACATATGAATTCAGGATCCCTAACTTTCCACTTGTACTGCAGGCCACCTCCTGCCCCACAGGGTGAATCCCACTGAATAACACTGAGTTCCCACAAAAAGACATTCTTTTCCTCCTGTCCAGGTGGAACAGTAAGGCCCCAGAGTGAAAATCATGGCCCAGCTAGCTTCAGCAAGAGCATGATTTCACACCATGACTGTATGTGTATAGATACACGCACACATGTCCACACATTCATTCTGTACATATACAAAGGTACACATACATTTTTACATTCTTTGGTGGCAAAATAATAAAAAAACCCCAACAAACCACAGGGTTGTACAGACTGTGCATCTTTGCTTAATGAATCTGCTTCAGGAAAACTGGGGTTGCGGTAACAGGAGTTATTTTGCCTCTTTAAGGACTGTTCCTTGCATTGACAAAACGCCATACATTTACAATGACTAAAACAGGGCACAAGGAAAGCCAACGTAAACACAGCTCACATAATGACAGATAACTCAGAGAGAGCCCCCTCCTACCCACATCAACACACCATGAGGAGAAGAAGCCATATGCTTTCACCTACAAGCACTCAAACGCTTCCTCAGTTACTGTCCGGATGCTGAGCTGAGCTGCGGCACACCCTTCTTCTGCCCTGGCTGTGGGGTTTCGCTTTTTGTTGCTTATTAAAATTGGACTAACAGAGGACGGGATGTTGGGAGCAGCGGAGGAGGCTGGCAGGTCAATGCCACACCGAAGGGTTGTCAGCCTGTGTGCTTCAGATGAACGGCTCTTCTTGTCGCCACCTCTGGGACGTCAAACCTGCATCTCAGAGGTGCTGATGAGGCCCAGTGCTTTGGCTTCTTCTGGTGTCAGTCCGCTCTTTAGTGTCCTTCTCACTGGACAGTCACAAATTCCAAAAGCAGGCAAAAAAAACCAAACAAAGAAAATGCAAACAATTAGAAGCGATAATTACACAAGACTTTCAGCTGAAAAAAACCCTGTTAACGTGCAAGCTGAGTCAAATCAAAAGTTGCTATGTACTCAGGGCCTTAAGTTCAGAAATACTGAGTAATGCCCTATGCCAAATCCATGGGAGCATCAAGTACCCAGCAACTCCAAACAGTCAGGCAAAAAGACATTTGTCGTTTGACATTTAGTCAACAAAAACTTTTAAGGAAAAATATGACAGCATTTTAAGGTTTTTTTTTCCTCTGAAATTGTATCAGTTGATTTTCAGTCCATGGAAAGTATCATCTGTCCTATTATTTTATAGTTTCATAAAGATTTTTTAAAAGAGCTTTTGGATCTTTATAGGGCTCAATTGAATTTATCACTATTAAATGCTATGTGACCCTTTAAAGGTGTAAAAAAACCAACCCCAAAAGTTAAAAGATTAAAAATGTGACTATTTTATAGTTGATCCAAATCATTACAACTACTGTCTTCATACACGCTCCCCTTTCTTCTGTAATGTTTCCCCGTCCTGGCCCCATTTGCATCATCTTTGCCATTAGTAGTCTGCAGCATTTTAGTCGAATTTAAATGATAAATCTAGGCCAAAATCTTGTTTCTTAATTTTCTATGCAGTGCTCTGAACACTAGCCCCGACATAAAACTTTTAAAATTTGTGATTGCCTTTTTTATTCAGAAACAAGTGACTATGTGACTGCACACACTGAGCATTAGTGCCCTCCAGGTTTTACTGGTGCCATGATTTTCAGGTGGACGGGCTTTAGTTCAAAACACAAATGGGGTGTTCACGCCGCACTTTGATGTTCATCAAGTACAAAACACACATTCAGAAGTTTAAGCTGCATGCAAAGCATAAACAATGCCTTTATGTTGAACAAAATACATTCGGAGCCCCAAAATAATGAAGTCTAGAGGAAACTCTTAGAGAAACCAATTGCAAACAGTGGTTAAGGACTTCTTGCATCACTATCATCTAGCACAATTATGACCTCGGACTTATTGAGATATTCGGTCCATGTAACTGAAACTGGGTGGTCACACTCAAAGGTCTAGCAGGAGTGAGAGGAGGGAATGGATCGGTATAGAAAACGAGGATAACAGAAGGGGAAAATATGGTGTAGTTGAACACTGGATACCATGCAGGTAGAACGAATGTGATCTATGATAGTCAAACCGCTTTCATCAGTTACTGAGGTTAATCAAATGAGCTGGGAGTGCCACTTGTGTAATTGTTCCTCCATTACCAAACCCTTACTTGAAAGTTTTTCTTCAAGGCTCACTCCTTTCTCCTACAGTATTTGCCTACTTATTAAACACCCCTAGGAGTCTGCATGGCAGCCTTTTATGATATCCACTTTTTCCTACAATACTGATCAGCAACGTCTTCCAAGTTTAACAATGCTTAGCTTAAAGCAATACAAGGTTAAATGCAACTGATAAAGCTAAGATTAAGAAAAACTAAAAAAGTACTACCAGAATAGCAATACACTTCAAAAAATGCTCTGGTCTCCATGGTGCAGAATACCCAACGTGGACTTTTGAGTCAGTCCTCATCACTGGGACCCTTTTATACTTCTCAAATTTTATATCCAAATGTCCAGAGTGACAAATATGAATTTCTAGACATGAGCTATGAAATACCTTAGGGTTTTAAGGTCTCAGTGAATCACCCAATGCTTATTTCTGCATCAAAAAGAACTATATCAGGCGTGAAAGAACAAATCCAAGAAAGCTGCAGTAGAAACATTTCTGTCTTATTAAAAGCAAAGATTTCCTTGTGCAGTTCACCCACTTAGCTGCCTGCACTGCCTCTCCCCTGAACATGTTTTCTTCTGTACCCTCTAAAACACGCAGCCAAACGCAGACCATAGCTAGCTTGGCCACCAGATAGTAGAGCCATGTTAAAGAATATGCGTACGGAATACTGAACTTTCACAGGATGACTGTCTAGATGACATTACATCTTCCCACTGACGGCAAAAGTGAACTGGAAAACCGAGAGCAGAACAAATTTCCACATTTTAGACACTTTTGCAGAAGTGTCAAACCGAACGTATTCATGACTGCTCTCACACATATCCCCAACTCTCTCAGACCACAATCACTCACTCACATTCGGAAACTGAGCACAATAACCACCGCAAAACAAAGCTATTTTTCTTGTCAGATGGTAAGACAGGAAGAGTGAGGGAACAAGCAATTGTTATTCCTGTTTGTAAACATTTAACAGGAACTGAGGTACTCTGCTAATGCTGGTCATGTACTGGAATAAGCGAAATTCTGGTCTTATTTATGACAATATAAATCTGGAATAACCTTCTTCAGGTCACTACAGTTACTACTGCACAAACAACTGGGCTGAGACTCTGTCTAACAACTGAAAAGGAAATGTGTGCCTCTAACTTCCACCAAGCAGAATACAGTTATTTAAACTCCTCCATTAGCCTGAGTGACAGGATTACTAGTTTACTAGAAAAAGCCAAATGGATTTACAATAACATATAGGTCTCTTGGAAGAAAGTTATAGTTTATATTCAGAAGTCATAATCAGGAGTTAAAATGCCATGGTAGAAACCATCTTCATGGAAAAAACAAGGAAGAAAACTAAGGAGTCTTCCTTACATAAGCAAGATTTCTCTCTGAATTTCCAGATGCCTACCTAGCAAACGTACTAAAGTCTTAGTCTGAGGACCTCGTGTATTAACCCTTGGATGACTGAAAAAAAGGAATACTGTATGCAGCATGTGACAAGGACAAGTGCCCTGTTCTGGGCTTGCGGTATGACTCACACAACAAAGGCCAACCCCGGGTTTGTACTTTTTGTGCCACTGCAAAACAAGTAGGAATGACAATACTCAATGAATTGCTGGGACATACGCAGCTGTAATTAAACAAAACAATCTCTTTGCATTCCTCAGTTGATGGTTCTAACTTATGCCAGCTCTCCTATAATACAGAGAAAGATAACTTGGACTTAAGATCCAGTGACCTAAGCTTTTAAGGCTAGCAGTTAGGAGAAAAGAGCTCCAAACAATGTGGGACTTTGGCGGTCATAATAAGATTGTCAAGAAAATAGTTAATAAAAAGCAAAGATGTGAAGGATCTTTTCAGTGACAGAATGGTTCCCATAAACACTGACGGCTGCTGACTTGTATAAACTAAGTGTGTGGGGCCAAACACTGCGAAGTACTGTGACTACTGGCAAGATTAAAGCTGTCCACCATCAACAGGCAACTGGAAGGATAACAGCTAACAGAATCATGGTCCAGACTCAAATGAGTGAATTCTTGCCCCTACAACGCAACAGGCCAGTCTGACACAGATTAATCCACTTGTAGTTTGAAGTATTTAGTACTTAGGGAGATGAAAGTGGCCTGATAAAGGGTCTCTTTATATAAAAATTGTACCTAATATGTGCAAATTACATTTCCTCATCTGAAGATACAGTGGATTGATGCAGTATCGGTAGTCAGCAGAAACACAAGAACAAGTTCCAGCCCTGCTATTCTCTGCACTGGCTTGTGGACTATGGAGGCTTGTGGGTGATGAAGCCAGGAGAAAGTTGTTATCTACAGGAGCAGGGAGTACTCTGGGAGGTGGGTGAACCTTCTCTTGACTTGCTGCTAAACAGATGTCCTCAGACATTTGTCTATTTCCTCATAAAGCGCTTGATAGGGTTCCTCTACCATAGGAAAGGCCATGAACACGTTCAGTCATCAAAACTGAATGTGGAGAGATATTTTCCTTCCATTTTTTATAGGCATTGCAAAATTACTTTTCTCAAACTAGATCTTCATGCTCCCCTCTTCACTGAACTCTGTCGTGTCTCTAACTGGACTAGACATAATATCTTGGCTTGTAAAACTCTTGGCCTGCTGCAGATCACATTAAACTGAGTTATGGAATGTATTTTGGAGGCAGTGACAATAAAAATAAGACTTTCAAATGACCTTTTAGGTTCTTTAAGCAATTTTTAAAACATTTGCTAAAGAAACATAACATAGAGAGAAAATAACTTTTACTCTTGTCACAAGCAAGGCCTGCTGAGATCCCATAACCAAGAAACTAAACGTTGTTTTTCTGCGGTCAGAGGGTATGATATTCTTTGTTAATCAGGAAATCTAGAATTTTATTTGATATCCTGGCAGAATGCAGTGTGCTTATGATGAACTCAATGAATTTGACTCTGCCTGTTGGGTCAAAATCTACACGGATACATAGCCCTCACAGTACACTGGCAATGTTTTAAAAAAGAGTAATTCCCTAAGTGTAGCTTTGTCAGAGAATATAATTATCTAGGGTTTGGTTGTTTTTTTAAAGAGCAAATAGCATTCCTAATTTCCCCTCCCCCTCCCTTTTTTTTTTAAGATGCAACGAACAGTAAAGATCAGTCTGGCTGGCGCTATTTAGTCTTGTATTTGCAATGGCTTTTGGCATGTGTGTCTACACTTGTATGGATGAGTCACTTCAAATGCAGAGTAGATATGACCATACTCCCGCTCAAGAAGTCACAGAATTAGTGTCACTCCTATTACAAAGATGCGGCAGCCACGGAACTGTCTTTTGGTCCCAGCTGCAAAGGTAATGCAGCTGCTTTAAGCTGCTAGTTGCTGATTTGGAATGAAGAAAATTCCAGGTGGCTGTAAATTACACAGCGAGGACAGCAGGAAGGGCAGATTATAAAAGGCCATACAGGCTAGCTCTATCATCTCATTTCATTTCATGTATCTTAGTTTTATTTTCTGTTACCTACCCCCACCCAGCTTGCACACTCAGTCTATTTTCTCATATATTTACATTTAACATATTCTCTTGGACTTCACTCCAGTGAGTCAAGCAATGGCAATTTGCAACTCAAAAGTTCAATCCAGCCAGTCTTGCTCATATTCTCTTATTTTAATCCATTTCTGCATTTGTGTATTTT